GGAAAAGGCACCCCTGAAGCATCTAGCTAAGGCCCAGTATCCCTTTCAGAGGATACAAATCGATCACATCCAAATGCCGAAAAGTGGCCGATATGAATATGCATTGGTGATCGTTGACATGTTCTCCGGCTGGCCTGAAGCCTATCCCGTCACCAACATGACGGGGAAGACCACTGCCAAGAGACTTTTAACAGAAATAGTGTACAGATATGGTGTCCCAGAGGTTATAGAGAGTGACCAGGGGCCGGCTTTAACGGCCTCAGGAACTAAAGAAATATGGACAGCGCTAGGGGTCACCCTAGCTTTTCACACTCCGTACCGTCCCCAGTGCAGTGGGAAAGTAGAGAAATTAAATGGAACACTAAAGTCTGGGATGTGTAAAATGTCCCAGGAAACAGGAATGAGTTGGCCAGATAGTCTGCCCATTGCTCTATTCAGTGTCAGGTACACTCCAAGGGGAAGTCATGGTTTATCACCCTATGAGATACTGTTTATTTCAGGCCCCAGAATGGCCTGTTATTTCCCACAACAGTTACAGCTCCAATCTGATGTGTTAACTGATTATGTGACTGCTCTGTCTAATGAACTAACTAACCCGTATCCATGCGCAAGTATTTTCTTCCATTCCAGATCCTGAGTTAGATACAGGAACACACAAGCTGGTCCCTGGTGATTGGGTCTTGGTGAATAAATTTGTACACAAACATTCCCTCGAACCAAGATACGACGGTCCTTTCCAAGTCCTCTTAATAACCGCCACGTCAGTGAAGGTGGCCGGAAAGAACTCGTGGATTCACGCTTCCCACTGCAAGAAGATCTTCGTGCCCGAGGGGAACGAACCATGATCCTATATATCCTTCTAATACTCAGTTCTGCTGAAGCACGACAGGTTGCTATTACTCAGAAAGCTGGGCTAGTCACTCTCAGCAGCAGCTTTTCAATGTCTGGACAAGGTAGGCTTTTACAGGTACATAACATGCGTTGAATATATTCTTAAGGAAAGATGTTTTCTGAAATAGATGGTCCCTTTAATGAGGTGCTAGCCAGTTGGTCAAGCATTGCAACGGTGCAAACAGAGAATGACAAGTACACGCATGAATATTTCAATAGGTTCATTAGTAGGGTGCGGGAGGATACCAGAGATGTTTTACATCTGAAAGTGATCAGGTTTGATGTGGGCGTGAAGGACGGAGCTAGAGAAAGTTCACATGTAGCAGTGTTAGCTGAAGGAGGAATAACCAATAATTCAGATTTGGAGGTGAGATGGAGAGAGACCATTAATGAGATAAGAGAGCTCGCGGTGTAATTTATCAGAGAGAGTAAAAGTTCAAGCGCAGAAATGCACAAATTGAATGTCATTGCATCCAGATGGTGTCTAAAGGCAGCAATTAATTTTCCCAGGGGTATTGTGTACAACAAGAATAGGAAGGGAACCGAACGCAGCTATTTAGGGCAAGGGCTCATCAGGATGAAAATGAATGCGTTGCTTAGGTAGCCTCTCACACCACACCAATTATAAAAGCTGGATTGCCATGACTGGATCCTGTAGGCCTGGAGCCTGCACTGTTTGTTAAAAATCCGTCAGGCATACATGGGATTATATTAGCAATATTGTCACCCCGTATGTGGCTGGAGCGTCAGAAAAACTCAGAAGGACCCCTATGTCTTTCAAGCCCACCAATACACCAAGACATAAGCTTGACCATCCAAAAGACCCGAAACCCAAACACAAGTGAAGATCCTTGATATATGCACTAGGGATGCACCGATACCGGTTTTTGGTATTGAGAACTGATATTTATAATTCTTTATTGGCCGATACCGTTTACCGATACCAGTACTTCCACTAGCATGGAGCCGGCTTTCTGGGCAATCAGGAAGCCGAGCGACGTGTCATTACCCGCCGCCCTGCTTCTTGATAGTCCGGGAAGCCGGCTCCATGCTGTTTGACCGGCTACATGCTGATTGGCCAGGAAGCCAGCTTCCCAGCCAGTCAGCATGGAGCTGGCTTCCCTGCTCGACTTCCTTATTGGCCGGGAAGCCGTTTCCATGCCTTTTGTCCGGCCAATCAGCATGGAGCCGGCCAAACAGCATGGAGCCTGCTTCCCGGCCAATTAGGAAGCCAGGTCAGGAAGCCGGCTTCCTGATTAGACGCGAAGCCGGCTCCATGTTCCCTCGCGGCACAGTCGGTCAGAGGAAATCTCCCTCTGACCGGAAGTTCTGGTATCGGGGGTAAGTATCAGAGCATTTGGGCGAGTAAGAGTACTCGCCCAAATACTCGGTATCGGCACCGATACCGATACTAGTATCGATACATCCCTAATAGGCAAAATAGTGCACTAGGAAAGACCTGTATATTGGGGAGTCAAAACAAGCTCTCAACAAATGAATGACCCAACAAAGGAGGGCAAATTCTACAGTTAAGGATTCAACAGTCTTCCCCCACCATGAGGAAAAGTGACCTTTTTGGGAGGACACTGAGGTGGACAGAGAGGACAACTGCTTCTCAAGAACTGACTGGTGTGACTGGTCTTGTCTCTGCCCCCTCCTGTAATAAAGACCGGTCACTGCTGCTCTCTCTCCTTGTGCAGGGTGACTGGTCTTGTGTCCCCCTCCTCTAATAAAGACCAGTCACTGCTATTCTCTCCTTGTGCAGGGTGACTGGTCTTGTGTCCCCCTCCTCTAATAAAGACCAGTCACTGCTATTCTCTCCTTGTGCAGGGTGACTGGTCTTGTCTCCGCCCCCTCCTGTAATAAAGACTGGTCCTTGCTGTTCTCTCTCCTTATGCAGGGTAACTGGTCTTGTCTCTACCCCCCTGCTGTAGTCGGTGGTTCCTTCTGGGCCCCTCCCACAGCTCTGACCTATGCACAGACTATGTACAGCACAGTGATGATGTCACTGATACTGTTACATTGTATTATCTTGGTTTGTATAGGCATTGGGTGCACACAGAGCGGATTTCTATCCTTTGTGTCTATGGAGGAATTTATTTCAGTGAAAGTTATTATAAAGGGAATCACTTAAACTCCAAACCTTCTGCATTCATTGATGGCTAACGTAGTGTAATACTCTGCAGCTAAGCCGCTCTCTGCGGGGGATGGTTGGTATGGGACGGGATGGTTTTAGGTGGAAGTCTCTTGTACCCGGAAGTGACTTTTTCTATATTTTGGGAACGTATTTCCAGGTGACTAGGGAGGAGTGCGGGCCCCGGGGGTCCCATCTGGAGGAGCTGGTGCTGGAAAGGGCCGACTGCCTGCTGAGATGCGAGAGGCTGCAGCTGGGGCAACCTTCCCTCTACCGACTGACTCAGGAGACCGAGAAGATCTTCCAGAGGGGGTCGCCCTACAACTACCTGCAGCTGGCGCACTACAAGGTGGGTGCAGGGGGGGGGGGCAAGGGATGCGATGCTCTGCAACTGGGTGGGTGCAATGGTCTGTAGGGCATGGGTGAAGTGGTCTGTAACTGGGTGCAATGGTCTGCAGGGCATGGGTGAATTGCAACTGGGTGCAATGCTCTTCAGTGTGAGAGTGCTGGGGTCTGCAACTGGGTGCAATGCTCTTCAGTGTGAGAGTGCTGTGGTATGCAACTGGGTGCAATGGTCTGCAGGGTATGGGTGAAGTGGTCTGTAACTGGGTGCAATGCTCTGCAAGGTATGGCTGCTGGAGTCTGCAACTGGGTGCAATGGTCTGCAGGGTATGGGTGAAGTGGTCTCTAACTGGGATCAGTAGTCTGCAGAGTATGGGTGAAGTGGTCTGTAACTGGGTGCAATGCTCTTCAGCGTGAGGGTGTTGTGGTCTGTAGTTGGGTGCAATGCTCTGCAAGGTATGGGTGCAGTGAGCTATAACATTGTCATGTTTTCCAATGTATGTTTTCCAATGTATGAGTAAAGTGGTGTGTACGTGGGTGCAATGCTCGGCAAGGTATGGGTGCAGTGGTCTGTAACTGGGTGCAATGCTCTGCAAGGTATGGGTGCACTGGTCTGTAACTGGGTGCAATGCTCTGCAAGGTTTGGGTGCAGTTGTCTGTAACTGGGCATCATGTTTTCCAATGTACGAGTAAAGCGGTGTGTACGTGGGTGCAATGCTCTGCATAGAAGGTGGCAGTGGTGTGTACGTGGGTGCAATGCTCTGCATAGAAGGTGGCAGTGGTGTGTACGTGGGTGCAATGCTCTGCATAGAAGGGGGCAGTGGTGTGTACGTGGGTGCAATGCTCTGCATAGAAGGGGGCAGTGGTGTGTACGTGGGTGCAATGCTCTGCATAGAAGGGGGCAGTGGTGTGTACGTGGGTGCAATGCTCTGCAGAGAAGGGGGCAGTGGTGTGTAACTGGGTGTACATGGGAAATAATCTGCAGGGCCTGAGTAGATGTTCCAGTAGAAGTCCTCGTTGAGTCCTGGGTGCAAACATCTGCAGGCAACAGGAGACCACTTCTACAGCTACTCTTCAGGGACAGGATGCAATGCTCTGCAGCAAATAAGTGCCATGTTCTGCAATCACAGGATTTG